TACAACTAGTGTATGAGAAATTAATGCGCATATGTTCTAGTAATGATCTGTGATATGCCCAGATCCTCTTAGACAGGAAGAACTATAAAGTACGTCCTGGAAATTTTTTAACGACGCAGCTACATAACCAAATCGGTATGTAGAGGAAAAAACTACCTCTCATTAAGCAACAGTTAATGACTAATACTTCTAAGTTGTTGTTATGATGTATATGACGTCAGGCGATTTTTCGAAGTAGTTGTTACAAAATCTTAAATTTCGTTTTGAAAATATGTAATTAACCTTTTTTCATTGTTACAACTTTCTCTGGCTTTACAACTAGAAAATAAATATTTTATGGTGAAAATAAAGAAGGAAATTTCTATTTGAAGTCATGTATGTAAGTGCAATATTTATCCAAAACAAATCTACATATTTAAGTCCAAGCTGCGTATAATTAAGTAAATGCTTTAAATTATTCATGAATTTGATTTTGACACTGATGTTAATGAGAGTTTGAAAGTTCTAACCAAGATATAAACACATGTTTATTTTCGCACGATTTAAAATCAGAAAAACATTACAAAAAACGCTCAAGAAAATAGTGTGATTAGTTTTTATAACTGACGAAGATTAAGGATGCTAAAGCTAAAATTGGAACAATACATCAAAATTATAATAGAATGAAATACGATGTTTTTAATTAATGAAATGTTATCTCATAAAAATCTTCATTATTTTCAGAAGTAGAAGCGTAGCACGCAAAAATTAAAACTTAACAATAAAGAATGAAAGCCACTTAACGTAAGTATTGCTTTTGTGTCTCAGAATGTTATCATAACGTATCACGGTAATTATATTTTTTTATAGATCAAGATTAGGAGCGATAATTTTTTCATCCTTCCATTAATTTCTATCACGGATTCCTTCATTGTTTTCTTTTTATGAATAAAAAAATCTGACGTGAACGAAAAACGATAGTTCCTTTCGTGAGTTATTTCCGTTACTCTATTAGCTAAACCTAAATAATATAAAATTGATATTTATGTAGCTAATAGTACTTTGCCCGAGCATGATTTTTTCGACCGAGTATCAGAATTTTTCGAGAGCGCTAAAGACATTTTTCAAACGAGTTACACACAATCTTTTAACTAGAACACAGTTTTTGACACATCACCTCATTTTTGCAACAAGAAACTTAAAAAAGTACTATCTATAAGAAAGAGTCATTAAAAAAGTTATTATTTGATAAAGAAATATAGACATGAAAATGTTACTTTATTGACAGTTGCTATATTTTTTAACATCTCATGTTTCAAGTCAATAAGTCCTAAATAAAACCAAATTAAAAAACCTACACTAATAAATTTCCCCAGGTATCATAGATATTTGTAAATCCCAGTCGCTAAGTTGTCTGCATGGAATTTTCAGAATGTAATGGGACGATTTCTACAGTTTTGTAAGCTGAAAACCGTGGTGAAAACTGCGTTCCGAAATTTCCGTAAATAATTGAAATATTGAAAATTTAAAAAATATATGATAATGAACTGTTTAAAAAAACTGCCCTCGCATTATATGATGAAAGTTGTGAACGTGTTACATTCAAAATTTCATAACAATAAGTGTGTTAATAATGGAGATATTACATTCTGAAAATATATTGACAACACCTTAAGAGCTGAAATATAGTTTGTACATGAAAACAAGACCTCAAAATGTTTTGAAAATAAATGTGGCGTCAGACCATATGAATACATAAGGCTCCTTCACTTTGAATCTTGTTAAATAAATTGGCGTCTCGCAATCGCCACGCCACGTGTTGAATGCACGCACTGTAAATACTGTTGGTATTGGTCACTTCCCGCATCATCAGTCTATACTATATCTCAAAGTTTACGATAAATAATTTTTAAAATTGTGTATCAATTCTGTGTTGCAATACTTAAGGTCATAAAGTTTCTGGTATTTAATAGATTTTCCACTAGAGATTTGGCAACATATAATCTTTCCTCTTTCTGTCTCTTTTTATTAAATGTTTGAAATATGTTCATACAGAACGAATTTCTGTGTGAGATAAAATCGTAAAAGTAGACTTGGAATATAAATTGCGAAAATATATGTATTTATATATTATTTTGTACATTACCTATAATGTACAAATATTAAAATTTAAAGCTGATGTACAGTTTAAAATTTTATGCGATAACTTAGTCAAATATCCAAATCTTATCCAACTTCGTTTATCTATGCCCTGTAAAAGATCATGCAAGTGGGGTATTTTGAGATCTCACCATTTTCGAAAATCGGCGGGGATGGGATTCGAACTCACGCGACTAGAGTACAAGTACAACGGTGAGGAGTGGAAAACCTACACAACTACTGGCAGATCAAACTAAATGTCTTATTTTCTCGTATTCTAGTATTTATGAAACGTCGAGAAAACATGGAAACATTCCTCAGATAGACCTTATAATAGAATATTTTTTTAACTTACGCTCTGAAATTAAAAAACTGAATTCTAAAAACAAAGCACAAAATATGTTACAATAATATATTTCTTATTGCCAATTATTCTATCGCGAAGTTTAAAGAAAATTTTTAAATCTTTTCATTATTCACACACGATTACGAATGTTGCTACTTTTCTATAATATTACTAAGATACTTAGTGTTTTCTCAACAATTCATAATCCCGTGGAGTACGAAAAAATAGGTCTCCCATTTCCTTCTGTTTGTCCGTCGTCGGAGTTGATTTTTATTAGACACATAATAATCTCTGAAACTACCGGACCGATAGTTGTCAAATTTTATATGTATGTTACTGCTACCTACTCAGGATTTTTTAAAATGGGGTTAATCTTCCTATGGCTACAAACAGTGAAATCTTGGTTGCATTATGCTTGACTTAGAAATGCTTCGTTGTTGATTAGAGTGTACAGGAAGGTAATTGAACTGATTATTAATTAAATAGATGTTACGCGAGAATCCAAAGTTAGACAATGTTAAGACGCCAACAAATTTAATAATCGTTTCCTGGAAAGAACTGATAATGTTTTGTTAAGCAAATTTACTTTTACATGTACATATTATAACAATATTTTTGCACCAAAATTTCCAATTATGTAATTCCTGAAACTGTCTGATATAAAAATAAGTAAGCTTCTTATTTTGAAATTTACAAAAACTTACAAATAAATGCGACAAAAATAAAAAAACGTTATCATAATAGGATCCGTCAAAATGTCAAAACTTAATTAAATAACAAGAATTGATTGTATCGAACAAGCATGAGGAAATATTATTTGTAGTTCCAATTCCGTGAGCCGCATTACTCAAAAATGTTTAGCACCATAATCTTGACAATGCCACTTTCCATTAAAATATTTCCAAGAGTCGGAAGATAAGATATAAATAACCGAGTCATATTTAGATGAAAATGAGATTTTAGTATGTTAGTGATACTAATACAGGATAATTCGAATCATATTTTAAGCGAGACATGTTTTCACTAAATTCAGGTGTAATTCAACAACTATCCTATTTCGATTTTAGAGCCAAGGATGATATCTTGACACCATTTATTTGTGCGGTAGTTTTCAGATTTATTTACAGAGTTAGATTACAACATTTGCACTATTTGAATATAGGGTATGATCAGGTGCGACCAACAAATATCATCCTGTACCTGTCCCAGGACGATCTCTGTTGTCGCATGTTCATAGTGTAATACACGCTTTTTTTCACTAAACGTGTGCCAATATTTTCAGTATCTATCGAAGCAAATACATTCCGTCCACTCTGAAAAGTTACAAAACTTTTGATATTTTTTTAGGCAAGGTGAATGTTGCGACATTAAAAGTATCAGTTTTTTAGCAAAATAAAATTTCGTGATAAACAAATAAATAATTGCACGATAATGTCATGCAAATTTTGTTGTTGTAATTACTTACTCAAGTATTTGGGTTAGGATAAACAAAAATATGTTTTGTTATTTATTTAAAACTTCTATATCGAAAAGTTTTATTTGTCTCCTGTTAATTTATGAAATGCGTACTTCCTTCAAGACGTTTTGCAAAATAAAATAATCATTAATTAATAGCAAAAGAAACAAAAATTTTCTGTTCAGGGTGTTTATGTTAGACATTCATTAAAAGTTTATTAGATTTTTATTTCAGTTGTGGAATTTTAGCTTATTTACTCGTTGTGAAACAATCGTAGTACGATATGTATGTATATTTGATGGTCAGCAAATTACAATTCCTCTTTATTTCGATTCAAACAATTTGAAGCAAAAGCAGTTAACCCTGATTTTAATTATCTCCGAACCTTATAGCATGGGACATTATTGCACAAACCTGCGTAAGCTGTAAAAAAGTAATTACACATTTGACGCAACAACCGTAACGTTAGAATTTTTAAATATTTGCTACAGTTTATTGGATTAAGGATTTTGCACAAGAGGTTATAAATTGTTGTGCAAAAGAAAAACAGTTTTTTCGCAACTATTCAGCAAAGGTTTTTCTTAACTTAATTAAATATTTTATTTATTGCTGATTCTGATAAAACTGAAAGACGATCATAATCGTTGCGAAACTCGATGAATAGCGGGTTTAGATGTATTTTTTCTCTCAAATAAATTTAATCTCGCGAACAATGGTGTAAATTACGAACACATTATCTTTTTTCGAGTTTTGATAAAGACGCGTGCTATTGCAAAATTCTTGTGCGAATGATAAACGTTTAGCAATCGTTTAACCTTTGAATTAATCACAATTATTAAAAGAACGGCCGTAACGTAAATAAAACCACTTATATATGTCAAAGGTTTGCTTTATTGATGATAACCGTAGTCATAAGGAGGTCTAAAAGTGTTGTTTCATAACAACCAGAACATAGCCATAACAGGAAAACACGAGATATGCTCGCATTGTTCTTGCAATAATTAGATATTTTAACAACAACAGTATTAATAATGGTCATTAACGCAGCGAGAACAATGAGTCTGACTATTAAACACTTACGGAAAACTGATATTGTTCCAGGGACCCCAACAAAGTAGTACAAAGTCTCCGCCGACAAATCTGTAGCAGAATTTTTACAAGACTTTTCACAACTTAACTTCGTGTGATCTTGCAGTTGACTAAACAAATCTGACATTTGTGATGACTTTTATGACGTCATCAATACCAGTGTGTGGCAACATTGCTTCGTATGGGCGCCGGGGGTCCACCAAATTACACGTACCCATGTATCTATAACCACAACAAATCAACAATTATTTTTTAAATTTTGACACGTGATGATCGAGATAAGCTCTTTTGTTTGAAAAATCGTGCTTGTCATTTCCACCACGGTTTGGGCATCACATTGTGTTCGATGGTGCAAGATTGATAAACAGCACGATCCGTGTGATGTGGTGTGAGAGCTGTCGTCGATCACGTTTACCAAGTTCTAGGCTAAAGGAAGGACATTCTAGCGATTCATTGTAAATCAATGGATTTGCGTATCCGAGCACAGTTACGTGGAACACTGTAATCATGAAAATAACGTTTCAAGTTTAATTAACTTGTTAGTCGCTGATATGTAATGAAATAGTTTAGTACTAAAAGCGACGTTGCGCAATCGATACAGTTGTGTGTGCGGAACCGATGCCATAAGGGTTACCGAACCCTACATTTTTGGGTTAAATTAAGTCACCGATAAGTGACAGGAAGGGACTGTTGTTGCCGGGCTGATATGATTTTGCAGAATGTTGCCTCACTTTACGTACGACGAAAAACATTGTAACTTTGTTGATAATTACATTTTTTAAATTTTTAATCTGCGGAATAATGCGATAATGTCTTGCGAGACTTGCAGGTATTATATTAACACGTATTACACAATCATCCGACAAACACATGCTCTTTATCATACCTCTCCTTATATGGAGTGAATCAGCAAAAAATTTTCTAGTTCTGTATGCACAATAAAATTTTATGAATACTATTTATTATTTGTTTTGTTTGATCGCAACTCTTTACTGTTACTTAATGGATCTGTCTTTGCATTGTACTACATCTGCATACATCGATCAAACTATGTCCTAATAGCATAAGCCACTAGTTGCAATAAGAGTTCTTATAGATTTACGTTGTGTCCGTATTTCCTGACGTCATTGCAGCAGCGATGCTAAGCAAATCTATTAGCTATTTTATGATGTTTGTGCCTGACTTTACCACCACTATGTATGTTGACTGCTGGATATTGCTATTAGCCTTATTGTACTCCAAGTTATATATTTTGCACATGTGTGAAAAACGTGCAGTTAATTAATTGATAATAATTTATAATTAAAAGACATATTTCTCAACTTACAACTTTTGCAAACTAATTGTCTCTATCAAGTAAAGAATGACACTAGATAAACGTAACACTTGATTAAATATTTTTTTATAAACTTTTTTTATAAATTAATGAATTTAAACGCAATTAACAAAGTTTCAGATAATCTATTTGTGCTGCTTTAAAAACGGCAAATTTCGTTTAACCGGAGCTGGAATATAAAAAAAAATTTAACACGTTTTTCAACAAAAAAATTGTCTGTGCAGTCTGGTATTCGTACACGAAATTTAATTATTATTATTATTGTAGTAATTTAGCACTTGCTTGACAAATTTACTGAAAATACCCCAAAATGTATTCTTCTGTAAGCGAAGTTTATGATTTAAACAAATATGTTTTTGTTTTTTGTAGTAAATTACAATGACGACATAAACTTTTTATAAAAAAATTATAATCATGTTGAAAAAAAAAAACACGTACTGAACGAATGTACTACGAGCAAAACGCCTCCGACGACAGCGTGGACGTGGTTCTAATTGTGCAAATATTTCCAGTATACTTATTTCGGACTTATGTTGACGAATTACAACGCGTGACACTTATGGCTTTGTCACATGGTAAACATAGTAACACCTGTATTGTCCTTTTTTTCTCATTTATTTGTCTTTGTTTAACAGCTATTTATGAAATATTCGATGTAGGGAATTTAATTCTTGTCTAATAAATAATTTTCGCTATGTTGAGTTTTATAGCTTGTAGAATACGTAAAAGTAGGTTCCCCGTTTCCGTCTATTTGTCGCTTGTTGACGGTTTTATTAGGCAAGTAATTTTTGAAACGACAAGCTAGACTGACTAAACTCTTACAATTTATTTTAGAAATTGTTAAAACCATTGTTTATCCCTTCCAAAGACTTGATGACTCCATCTCAAAATTTTTCAAATTAAATTTATTCGTCCACGCCTATTTTGATTAAAAAAAATGTTCCTACTTAAAATTAGTTTTATATAGAAAATCTCACTTGAAACATCTGTAATATACTCCTTTAGCTGTAATTTATTCTTTTTTTTAGGTTTTTATTTTAACTTAAAGAGATTATCATAACAAAAAATAAAGGAATTATTATCATATTATTATTATAGAATAGGATAATGAGACAGATTCAAGATCTATAATACCCATTTTTAACAGTGTGTTAACTTTATTAGCAGTGCAAGAATTCATCGTACAGGTTTTTGAAACGATTGATACTAGGAGCAGATACGATTTCCTCTGGTAGTTCATTTCAACGATTTACAATTCTATTAGAAAAGAAATTTTGCCAGCATTTGGATTTAAAATTATCCCATTTCCTCAATTTGTAACTGTGCCCCCTCAATCCTTGGTCAGAGTTCAATTTAAACATGTAAGACAATTCACTGTCGACTAGAGAGTGTAAGATGCGATATGTAAAAATCATGTCACCCCGAAGGCGTCTATTATGAAAGCTATCTAAGTTGAATGAGACAAGGTGTTCATCATACGAGAGTCTGGTACTACCGTAAGGTATTCGCGTGGCCAGTCTTTGTAGAGATTCTAGTTCCAGGTTGTCTTTTCCCCAGTCCACGGTAGTGGCTTGACGAGTAGAGTAGAGGAGCGGGAAAACACCCTGATATGGACTTGGAGAAGGTAAAGTGGCCGTCAAATTAGACCGAATACTACCTGCGGCGCGGTCGTGCTGCTGCTCATTGAAGTGATTAGGATGGTTGTAATCTTTATTACTCTCCACTGTTTGGGCACAGCATATCTCTTATTTAAGTACTAACTGAATGGTACGCGGCATTCAGCCCTAATTTATGGCATCTATAAGCTGTGGTTAGGGGTTTATTGAGCGCTTGAGGCGTTCAGCTTATTGTGACAGCTACTATACAATGGGCCCAAAGGCGCGGCCTGAGTGCCCGCTGGCTACGGTCAGCCCCCATAAATTAAGAATCCAGAATCCAGTCCACGGTCCACACAGGACCAGCATATTCAAGTATAAGTCTGCAGTAAGTTTTAAACAGCTTAATACGTGTAAAAGTAGAGGGTGATGCATCTGTAAAAACTTTGGGTTTAATGCAACATGGGATATCAGCAACATAAATTCGAAAAAAACAAGAGTGGTCCCAACACAGAACTCTGTGGAACACCATTTGAGACCTAAGCAATGTTAGAAAGTTCGTCACCAACTCGGACACGGAAGACTCTGTCCGAGAGGTAGGCTGACAACCACGCTAGCAGAGAGCCTCTGATTCCCACATGATTGAGCTTTGGGCACTCTGTCAAAAGCTTTAGAAAAGTCTAGGTAAATAACATCTACTGGATCACCTCTATCTATTGCATAAGTCCAGTCATGAACACATTATAATAGGTTGGTTATTACAGATCTACAAGGCATAAAGTCATGTTGCTGGGATGGAATAACCTTATGTTTTGACAAAAAGGCTCTAAAATGGGCAGCAATTATTGTTTCCATGACTTTTACAACTGTCGATGTCAGGCTAATGGGTCTGTAATTTTGCAAATCAAATTTGTCCCCTTTTTTTAAAAATGAGGGTTACAGGTGCTGAGCGCCAGATATTAAGCAGAGTACTTGAGTTGTATGACATTTGCATCAGCTTGGAAAAAGGTAACGCCAGCGATTTGTGACATCGTTTGAGCACTAGCGAAGAAATGCCGTCAAGACCAGGAGAACAAGGGGAATTTAAGTTATTTAGATGATTTTCAACGATAGTAGACTCAAAAATGACATCAGAAATGGAGGGAACTATAGCATTAGATTTTATTTGCGGATATATCGTTGTATTTGGTTCATCAGTAAAAGAATTTAGAAAGTTTTCTTTGAACATTTCGGTTACTGCAGCTTTATCATTAATTAAAGACTCATTTAAAGTCACGGAGAATAGGAGCTGCTACTTTGCTGTTAGTTGTCAAGCGTATATATTTGAAAAATTTCTTTGTATTTCTGTCATTAGCTAAATTTGCTTCATAACGCCTTTTCTTAATTTTTATAAAGGATGTAATTTCGTTATAAAATTGTCAATGAGCTAAATAATGTTGATGACTAGAAGTATTTTTATATTTATTCCAGAGACGACGCTTACGTTTGACCTTATCTAAAATTTCGTTGTCAATCCACGGTTTCAAAAAATTAATGTTGTTTTTTTTTGGACTGAATTTGTGGACGTATTACATTTCAGAATTTTTGAAAAGCTACGAAAGCTGAAAAAAAACTGATTGCCAATCGATAAGGCTCATTTCAGAGTCAATTTGAGCAAAGTTGAAAATTGTTTGATACTTAGTCACGTTCTCCGGTTTCTTATTAATAGTTATTTGGAGATTGGTTACTACGACTGCATGATCTGATTTGCCTATAGGCGAAGATACCTTGACAGAGGAAAGAAGATCGGGATCGTTGGTGAGTTATTACCATGTCTGAAACGAGTGGGCTCTTCCAATAATTGTGTCAATTGGTTATCCGATAGGAAATTAAATTTTTGGTTACTTGTGATTCAGGAAGAGTTTGTAGAGGCCAGGTTAGCTCGGAAAAATTAAAGTCACCAAAAATAATGGTATCACATTTAGTCGCAATCACTGTGTTGATTTTGTTATATAAATCAAGATCATCAGTTAAAGTTAAAGTAGTTGACCCACCAGGACGATAAACGCATATCAGGTAAATAGACATGGAAGGAGATTGGACTTGTTTAGGTGATTGTGTTTCAATGGCGAAGGAAATTCAATTAAACCAACATTAGACAAATTCTTATAATTTTGTTTACCGTAGTTTCATTGCAATTAAACGCACTCTTGCATCAAAACTACTACTTAATTTATACAGCTTTCCTATAGTTTTATCCTTGGGGAAAGTACTGCATTCACCAGCATTCTGTTTTATTGTTTCTGAAATTACTAAAATCGTCTGTTGGTTATGGCTTTTCCCTTTTATTTCCCAATCGATACCAAAAACCAATTGCGTAAATAATACCTCCACAGAACGTAGTCAGCACAGGTACGATGTGGTTAATATTAAACACATTTAAACCAGTACACTAACGAGAAAAACATGCTATCAGTACATGCTTAACTTAGAATACATCGAAAGAATTTTACTATTAAGCACGGACAGATGTGTGTTGATTGACCAGAATAACCAGTAGCAGATTAACATATGCATTTGTGTTAAAAAAAATGATTGATTT